TACTGTAAATAGAGATGTAAGCCGTAAGTCTTAAATGTAGCTTTCAGATTGAAAAAATCATAACTCTCTTATTTTGGATTTTTGTGTTATGAAATTTTGTTGGGTTAGAGTTGAAAGGTTCCTAAACACATAAAAAAATATTTGGTTCCAGGAAGTTGATCAGCTTTCTAGGGACAACACTGTAAATGGAGATGGATGCCATAAGTCTAAAATGTAGCTTACAGATTGAAAAAATCATAACTCTCTTATTTTGGATTTTTGTGTTATGAAATTTTGTTGGGTTAGAGTTGAAAGGTTCCTAAACACATAAAAAAATATTTGGTTCTAGGAAGTTGATCAGTTTTCCAGGGAAAATACTGTAAATAGAGATGGAAGCCATAAGTCTTAAATGTAGCTTTCAGATTGAAAAAATCATAACTCTCTTATTTTGGATTTTTGTGTTATGTAATTTTGTTGGGTTAGAGTTGAAAGGTTCCTAAACACATAAAAAAATATTTGGTTCCAGGAAGTTTTTCAGTTTTCCAGGGAAAATACTGTAAATAGAGATGGAAGCCATAAGTCTAAAATGTAGCTTACAGATTGAAAAAATCATATCTCTCTTATTTTGGATTTTTGTGTTATGAAATTTTGTTGGGTTAGAGTTGAAAGGTTCCTAAACACAAAAAAATATTTGGTTCCAGGAAGTTTTTCAGTTTTCCAGGGAAAATACTGTAAATAGAGATGGAAGCCATAAGTCTAAAATGTAGCTTACAGATTGAAAAAATCATATCTCTCTTATTTTGGATTTTTGTGTTATGAAATTTTGTTGGGTTAGAGTTGAAAGGTTCCTAAACACATAAAAAAATATTTGGTTCCATGAAGTTGATCAGCTTTCTAGGGACAACACTGTAAATGGAGATGGAAGCCATAAGTCTAAAATGTAGCTTACAGATTGAAAAAATCATAACTCTCTTATTTTGGATTTTTCTGTTATAAAATTTTGTTGGGTTAGAGTTGAAAGGTTCTTCAACACATAAAAAAATATTTGGTTCCAGGAAGTTGATCATTTTTCCAGGGAAAATACTGTAAATAGAGATGGAAGCCATAAGTCTTAAATGTAGCTTTCAGATTGAAAAAATCATAACTCTCTTATCTAGGATTTTTGTGTCATAAAATTTTGTTGGGTTAGAGTTGAAAGGTTCCTAAACACATAAAAAAATATTTGGTTCCATGAAGTTGATCAACTTTTCAGGAAAAACCTCTGTAAATGGCCATAAGTCTTAGACGTGTCTTTCAGGTTGAAAAAATCGTAACTCTCTTATTTTGGATTTTTGTGTTATAAAATTTTGTTGGGTTAGAGTTGAAAGGTTCCTAAACCCATAAAAAAATATTTGGTTCCAGGAAGTTGATCAGCTTTCCAGGGAAAATACTGTAAATAGAGATAGAAGCCATAAGTCTTAAATGTAGCTTTCAGATTGAAAAAATCATAACTCTCTCATTTTGGATTTTTGGGTTATGAAATTTTGTTGGGTTAGAGTTGAAAGGTTCCTAAACACTTAAAAAAATATTTGGTTCCAGGAAGTTGATCAGCTTTCTAGGGACAACACTGTAAATGGAGATGGAAGCCATAAGTCTAAAATGTAGCTTACAGATTGAAAAAATCATAACTCTCTTATTTTGGATTTTTCTGTTATAAAATTTTGTTGGGTTAGAGTTGAAAGGTTCTTCAACACATAAAAAAATATTTGGTTCCAGGAAGTTGATCATTTTTCCAGGGAAAATACTGTAAATAGAGATGGAAGCCATAAGTCTTAAATGTAGCTTTCAGATTGAAAAAATCATAACTCTCTTATCTAGGATTTTTGTGTCATAAAATTTTGTTGGGTTAGAGTTGAAAGGTTCCTAAACACATAAAAAAATATTTGGTTCCATGAAGTTGATCAACTTTTCAGGAAAAACCTCTGTAAATGGCCATAAGTCTTAGACGTGTCTTTCAGGTTGAAAAAATCGTAACTCTCTTATTTTGGATTTTTGTGTTATAAAATTTTGTTGGGTTAGAGTTGAAAGGTTCCTAAACCCATAAAAAAATATTTGGTTCCAGGAAGTTGATCAGCTTTCCAGGGAAAATACTGTAAATAGAGATAGAAGCCATAAGTCTTAAATGTAGCTTTCAGATTGAAAAAATCATAACTCTCTCATTTTGGATTTTTGGGTTATGAAATTTTGTTGGGTTAGAGTTGAAAGGTTCCTAAACACTTAAAAAAATATTTGGTTCCAGGAAGTTGATCAGCTTTCTAGGGACAACACTGTAAATGGAGATGGAAGCCATAAGTCTAAAATGTAGCTTACAGATTGAAAAAATCATAACTCTTTTATTTTGGATTTTTCTGTTATAAAATTTTGTTGGGTTAGAGTTGAAAGGTTCTTCAACACATAAAAAAATATTTGGTTCCAGGAAGTTGATCATTTTTCCAGGGAAAATACTGTAAATAGAGATGGAAGCCATAAGTCTTAAATGTAGCTTTCAGATTGAAAAAATCATAACTCTCTTATCTAGGATTTTTGTGTCATAAAATTTTGTTGGGTTAGAGTTGAAAGGTTCCTAAACACATAAAAAAATATTTGGTTCCATGAAGTTGATCAACTTTTCAGGAAAAACCTCTGTAAATGGCCATAAGTCTTAGACGTGTCTTTCAGGTTGAAAAAATCGTAACTCTCTTATTTTGGATTTTTGTGTTATAAAATTTTGTTGGGTTAGAGTTGAAAGGTTCCTAAACCCATAAAAAAATATTTGGTTCCAGGAAGTTGATCAGCTTTCCAGGGAAAATACTGTAAATAGAGATAGAAGCCATAAGTCTTAAATGTAGCTTTCAGATTGAAAAAATCATAACTCTCTCATTTTGGATTTTTGGGTTATGAAATTTTGTTGGGTTAGAGTTGAAAGGTTCCTAAACACTTAAAAAAATATTTGGTTCCAGGAAGTTGATCAGTTTTCCAGGGAAAATACTGTAAATAGAGATGGAAGCCATAAGTCTTAAATGTAACTTTCAGATTGAAAAAATCATAACTCTCTTATTTTCGATTTTTGTGTTATGAAATTTTGTTGGGTTAGAATTGAAAGGTTCCTAAACACATAAAAAAATATTTGGTTCCAGGAAGTTGATCAGTTTTCCAGGGAAAATACTGTAAATAGAGATGTAAGCCGTAAGTCTTAAATGTAGCTTTCAGATTGAAAAAATCATAACTCTCTTATTTTGGATTTTTGTGTTATGAAATTTTGTTGGGTTAGAGTTGAAAGGTTCCTAAACACATAAAAAAATATTTGGTTCCAGGAAGTTGATCAGCTTTCTAGGGACAACACTGTAAATGGAGATGGATGCCATAAGTCTAAAATGTAGCTTACAGATTGAAAAAATCATAACTCTCTTATTTTGGATTTTTGTGTTATGAAATTTTGTTGGGTTAGAGTTGAAAGGTTCCTAAACACATAAAAAAATATTTGGTTCTAGGAAGTTGATCAGTTTTCCAGGGAAAATACTGTAAATAGAGATGGAAGCCATAAGTCTTAAATGTAGCTTTCAGATTGAAAAAATCATAACTCTCTTATTTTGGATTTTTGTGTTATGTAATTTTGTTGGGTTAGAGTTGAAAGGTTCCTAAACACATAAAAAAATATTTGGTTCCAGGAAGTTTTTCAGTTTTCCAGGGAAAATACTGTAAATAGAGATGGAAGCCATAAGTCTAAAATGTAGCTTACAGATTGAAAAAATCATATCTCTCTTATTTTGGATTTTTGTGTTATGAAATTTTGTTGGGTTAGAGTTGAAAGGTTCCTAAACACATAAAAAAATATTTGGTTCCATGAAGTTGATCAGCTTTCTAGGAACAACACTGTAAATGGAGATGGAAGCCATAAGTCTAAAATGTAGCTTACAGATTGAAAAAATAATATCTCTCTTATTTTGGATTTTTGTGTTATGAAATTTTGTTGGGTTAGAGTTGAAAGGTTCCTAAACACATAAAAAAATATTTGGTTCCATGAAGTTGATCAGCTTTCTAGGGACAACACTGTAAATGGAGATGGAAGCCATAAGTCTAAAATGTAGCTTACAGATTGAAAAAATCATAACTCTCTTATTTTGGATTTTTCTGTTATAAAATTTTGTTGGGTTAGAGTTGAAAGGTTCTTCAACACATAAAAAAATATTTGGTTCCAGGAAGTTGATCATTTTTCCAGGGAAAATACTGTAAATAGAGATGGAAGCCATAAGTCTTAAATGTAGCTTTCAGATTGAAAAAATCATAACTCTCTTATTTTGGATTTTTGTGTTATGAAATTTTGTTGGGTTAGAGTTGAAAGGTTCCTAAACACATAAAAAAATATTTGGTTCCAGGAAGTTGATCAACTTTCCAGGAAAAACCGAGGATAAGATGCTTGAATTAGGCGTTATCGAAAAATTAAAAAGTGCGTGGTATTCACCAGTGTTAGTCGTGCCTAAAAAAGATAACACCTAAGAGGTTTTGTGTTGATTTTAGGAAGTTGAATCGGGTTAGTGAGCGGAACTCCTATATATCTCCGATAATTTAAGTAAGCTGGGTAAAGCTAACTACCTATTGACCCAAGTATCGACCTTAAATATCAAAAGCGCGTATTGGCAAATAGAAGTTCATGTCCGGTTACAGCTTGTATGGTGACTTTTCCAGTTTTTTCGAATGCCATTTGGATTGCATAATGCACCTGCAACCTTCCAACGCTTAGTAGATAACTCATTTGGCCTTGAATTGCAACCGTTTGTGTTTATTTATTTGGATAATATTAATATTATTATAACACCCACACTCGAAAATCACCTCGAAATCCTGGAAGTTGTATTTCGACATCTTAAAAAAGCAGGTTTAACCTTGAATCAGGATAAGAATTGCTGAAAATTTTAGCTTTCAATCAAATTTATCAGGCCTAATCACCAACAAAGAAACCAACTCTTGCCAAAAAAGTATTATAACAAACAAATCGCACTTACCTCCTAGCGGTTTTTTTGCCTTCAGCATTAGCCGGCGGCCTACCGCGTTGCTTCTTCGGCGTATCAGCCTCGCTAGTGTCCGGCCTCGGTTTCCTAGGCCTGCCGCGTCCTTTGGCCTTGGGCGGCGGCGCCACTTGCGTCTTCTGAGGCCGATCCGAATCGTCCGAATCGGAAATCGTCGTCACTCGGGGCGGTTCCGAGTCGCTGCTGCTACTGCTATTTGACTTGGTACGCGGACTCGGTCGTACCACTGGTTTGGGTGCCTTTTTGGCTGGTGGTTCTTCTGCTTCGCTGTTTGATGAGTCGCTGTCGCTGCTGATTACTGAGGCGGAGCTCACTGGGTGATGTCTGATACGTTTTTGTTTTTTCCTTTAATTAAAAATTTGTTAATATGTACATTTTTCAATTCATTATAGGCGCTACTGTAGCATTCATCAACTTTCTAATGAACATCTGTTTTATCACTTTTTCCATCGTAAATTGATGGCTACAGTATAGCACTATGTCCCACCAAACGTTGAAATGTTGCAGGAGCAATATGGAGACCAAACGGCATTCTAATAATAATTAAGTTACCTTATGCTAGATTTCTCCTTTATTATTGGTCTCTTATTTTTCTGCTGTTGTTCGTCGCTGTCGCTCAAACTGCTCAAAAGCGTGAGATTGCCCAAGGCTGCCAACTGCTGAGCCTCGGCCACAAAATCACTATTAGGCTCATCTGAGTCACTAGTAGACTCAGAAGCGCGCTTGCGTGAATCCGGGCTAGCGCGTTGCACCATTTGGTTTTTTGGCGACGTTTGAGTGTTGAGGAAGTTGCCCAAATTCCAGCGCACAATTTTGCCTGATTCGTCTTCTTCTTGGGTGATGTTGGTGGGTAGTTGGGGGGCAATTGGGCGCTCATCAACTACTACAGCGGGTTTAGGGGGGGCGGCAACTGATTCGTCGCTGCTCGACTCGCTGTCGGACTCGTTCGAGTCGCTGCCCGAGTCGCTCGAGCTCGAGGCCGCCCGAGGTTGGGCGGGATCGGGCGGGCGAGGATCGGGAGGTGCGTAAGGTGGCAAACGGTCGTGGTGTAACCCGGACTGGTGCGGTGCAGGGGTTTGTTGTATTGGCGAGAGCATTCTAAGATAAGAAAAAAATAAAAATTAAATTGTAAATGTTATGAGGGGTTCCAAACCGGTCCCAAAGATATTTGTCTGGTTCGGTTCCCGAGAATTGATGAAATATTCAGTTAATTAACTAAAACAATGTGCCCGGCACCGCGAAACGATCGGCTCCCGATCGATAAGATTAGGAGAAAGCCCCTCCGGTATGGCTGCGGGTAACATGGATATGTCTATTATTCGGCGCTAATATTTGCGTGTATGTGTCGATATTTAGGGAGAAAATTGTTATTGAAATCACAGGTTTACTTAGTTCTGGAATTTTTTTCAAATCTTAACATAATTGCTCAGATCTTCGTTGAGATTTGAGCAAATTAACTACAATTATATATCATTGGAAAAAGCATTAAATTCTCTTCAAAACTGTGCTAAATTGGTTCCAGTTGCTCAAGGGGTTCCTGAGCTACAAACCTCCAAAGTTGGACTTTAATCAAAACTCTGTCCAAAACTTGAAACTCAATTTTCTCAAAAACTATAAAAGCTAGCGATTTCAGCTAAATACCATCTGAAAGCCCTTATCGAGAGCTACGAACCTCAACAATTTTGTCTCAATACCGCTTTTGGTTACCGAGATATCGAGGTTTGAAGATTTGGGATTGAAAATCCAATGTTTCTAATAGTTTTTGAACTAAAAATTCCAAAATAGAGGCTTGTCAATGTATTCATTTTTGCATAATTTAGAAAACTCGTAACTTTATTATTAGCGGTTTGATCAGCTTGAATTTTTAGTATGTTTTACCTCAAACCTTCGAAAATAGAGCCTCAAAGTTTCATCTTTGAGCCACCGATAGTTTTTGAGGTAAAAATTCCAAAATAGAGGCTTGTCAATGTATTCATTTTTACCTAATTGAGAAAATTCGTAACTTTATTATTAGCGGTTTGATCAGCTTGAATTTTTGGTATGTTTTACCTCAAACCTTCAAGAATAGAGCCTCAAAGTTTCATCTTTGAGCCCCCGATAGTTGTTGAGGTAAAAATTCCAAAATAGAGGCTTGTCAATGTATTTATTTTTGCCTAAATTAGAAAAATCGTAACTTTATTATAAGCGGTTTGATCAGCTGGAATTTTTAGTATGTTCTACCTCAAACCTTCAAGAATAGAGCCTCAAAGTTTCATCTCTGAGCCCCCGATAGTTTTTGAGGTAAAAATTCCAAAATAGAGGCTCGTCAATGTATTTATTTTTGCCTAATTCAGAAAATTCATAACTTTATTATTAGCGATTTGATCGGCTTGAATTTTTAGTATGTTTTACCTCAAACCTTCAAGAATAGAGCCTCAAAGTTTCATCTCTGAGCCCCCGATAGTTTTTGAGGTAAAAATTCCAAAATAGAGGCTTGTCAATGTATTCGTTTTTGCCTAATTTAGAAAATTTGTAACTTTATTATAAGCGGTTTGATCAGCTTGAATTTTCAGTATGTTTTACCTCAAACCATCAAGAATCAAAGTTTCATCTCTGCGCCCCTGATAGTTTTTGCGGTAAAAATTACAAAATAGAGGCTTGTTGAATTCTGACTCCAGAAATACTAAAGGAAATCTCAATTTTTGTCTCTGGAAATTTTTAGAAATCTTAACACGCTCATGAATAATTGCCCATATCTTCGATAGAATTTGAGCAAACTAGCTACAATTATATATTATTGGAAGGAGCATTAAATTCTCTTCAAAACTGTACCATATTGGTTCCAGTACCTCAACGGGTTCATGAGCAATAGAATTTCAAAGTTGAACTTTAGTCAAAATTTTGTCCAAAACTTCAAACTCGATTTTCTCAAAAACTCTAAATGCCAGCTAAATACCATCTGAAAGCCCTTAACAAGAGCTACAATTTCTGAAAATTTTATTCCGGTACCACTTCCGGGTACCCATATATTTAATCATTGATATTAAAATTCTATATTTTTGAGGAAGAGATAATCATTTAGTGTCTTGATAAACAACGCATTGTTGCCGCATTATTAAAATAGCTAAAAACAAGTCTTGGGGTACCTACGCGATTGACCTTAGCACCGATATCGTATTGGGTAAGGTCGACCGCGCAGTAGTACCGCAAAACAAAAACACTCATGCAAAAATTAAAATTGTCTCAAATATAGTACTCACTTATCGACAGTCAGATTCGATGTGGAGAGGATGTGATGTCTTCGTGTTTCGTCGTCGCTTTCTTCGGACAAATCGAGCTCGTTGTGCAGATGATCCCTAATATGCGAATAAAAATTATAGTACTTTTACTTTTCCACCACAAGTAACGTAATCAAGAGAGCGCCATGTTTATATAGTTTTGTAATTGATTACTTACGTTGACGGTATCCTGCTGCTATTATTGAGCGGTCGGTCTCTTTCTAAAACAAGACAAAAAAAAATAATTGTTAGTACCAACAAAAATCTATTGACAAGTGACAAGATTTATGGCAGCCCTAGCCCTAATAAAACCATAAATAAAAGTACCCTCCTAAACAAAGGGGCGGGTTTTTGTAAAAATCAAGTGGCGGTACTATAAACCAATAAAATATCGATATTTTTTTCTCAGATATGGCCCATAAACTATATAATATGTACGTTTCCCATGGGCAATTACTGCGGTAGTACCGTTTGCTGGGAAATGGTAATTATGCCCATTTATATAACAAATATACGGTTGTTGCGTGGTCACTTCATTTAAACTATTTTTGATATAAGTATAATTCAGCTGTTGTTGGTGTATGGTGTGCCACCTGCAACAGGTGAGCGGTACTACCTTCTTAAAGGGACAGCTTGATAGTGGTACTCACTCAGGCAATAGACGTTATTGGAGTGATGCCAACCAATCAAAGTGCCCCTACGAAGTAGGTTATCAATGAGTGAATTTCACTAAAATTTAATTCAATTCTTCGGAATTCTGCCGAAATTTCTCGGGGTTGCATGGAAATTCCTCGGAAATTCAGTTCATGTAATTTCACTGAAATTTCTCTAAAAGATTTCAAGGAATTCCATGTATGTAATTCAACGAGAATTCCTTGGAATTTTACTCCATATTTCATCGAAATTTTGTGTAAGTCGACACAAAGTGAAATTATACAGGGTGTCCACTCAGTGCGATATCGGACTTACAGGATGATGCAAGAAAAAAAAAATTACAAAGTTGTTTGATACTCTAATGTGCATTAGTTAAAAATATTTTTGAATATACAGGGTGGTCTGTTTATGGGGTTTTGTTTTTTTACATGGAACACCCTGTATGTGATTGCATATTTGGATTCTAAGTGAAATTCTGAGCAGATTTCATGTGATATACTCTATACCTACCTAAGTTCAACTGTTTTGGGAATATTGACTTTTTGCTACTTTGACAGACTGTAAAACCTAAATGGTTAAGAGGAAGGTAAGGAGCTCATTTTCCCAAAATTTCAAATTTTCGCTCCGCTAGTTTTCCAGGAAAACTTTGAAATGTGTGAGACTGCATTTTCAACTAATACAGTTTTTGTAGGTTGATTTCCAAGATTTTTCATGTTGCTGTTTTCCACTGGAAAAATTTGAAATTTTGGGAAAATGAGCTTCTCACTTCCTCTTTACATGCAAAAATTTTCAAAATTTTCCCTGCACTAGTTTTCCTGGAAAACTTTGAAATATGTAAGACTGTATTTTCAATTAATTCAGTTATTGTAGGTTGATTTCCAATATTCCTCATGTTGTTATTTTCCACTGGAAAAATTTTAAATTCTGGGAAAATGAGCTTTTAACCTTCCTCTTTACATACAAAAGATTTCAAAATTTTCCCTTCACTAGTTTTCCAGGAAAACTTTGAAATGTGTGAGACTGTATTTTCAATTAATTCAGTTATTGTAGGTTGATTTCCAATATTCCTCATGTTATTTTTCATTGGAAAAATTTGAAATTTTGGGAAAATGAGCTTCTCACCTTCCTCTTTACATGCAAAAAGTTTCAAAAGTCTCCCTTCACCAGTTTTCCAGGAAAACTTTGAAATGTGTGAGACTGTATTTTCAACTAATACAGTTTTTGTAGGTTGATTTCCAAGATTTTTCATGTTACTGTTTTCCACTGGAAAAATTTGAAATTTTGGGAAAATGAGCTTTTCACTTTCCTCTTTACACGCGAAAAGTTTCAAAATTTTCCCTGTACTAGTTTTTTAGGAAAACTTTGAAATATGTGAGACTGTATTTTCAATTAACTCAGGTATTTTAGGTTAATTTTCAATATTCCTCATGTTGTTATTTTCCACTGGAAAAATTTGAAATTCTGGGAAAATGAGTTTCTAACCTTCCTCTTTACATGCAAAAAGTTTCAAAATTTTCCCTTCATTAGTTTTCCAGGAAAACTTTGAAATGTGTGAGACTGTATTTTCAACTAATACAGTTTTTGTAGGTTGATTTCCAATATTCCTCATGTTGCTGTTTTCCACTAGAAAAATTTGAAATTTTGAGAAAATGAGCTTCTCACCTTCCTCTTTACACGCAAAAAATTTCAAAATTTTCCCTTCACTAGTTTTCCAGTAAAACTTTAAAATGTGTGAGACTGTATTTTCAATTAATTCAGTTATTGTAGGTTGATTTTCAATATTCCTCATGTTATTTTCTACTGGAAAAATTTGAAATTCTGGGAAAATGAGCTTCTAACCTTCCTCTTTACATGCAAAAAGTTTCAAAATTTTCCCTTCACTAGTTTTCCAGGAAAACTTCAAAATCTGAGACTGTATTTTCAATTAATTCAGTTATTATAGGTTAATTTTCAATATTCCTCATGTTGTTATTTTCCACTGGAAAAATTTGAAATTCTGGGAAAATGAGCTTCTCACCTTCCTTTTTACATGCAAAAAGTTTCAAAATTCTCTCTTCACTAGTTTTCCAGGAAAACTTTGAAATGTGTGAGACTGTATTTCCAATTAATTCAGTTATTGTGGGTTGATTTCCAAAATTCTTCATGTTGTTATTTTCCACTGGAAAAATTTGAAATTTTGGGAAAATGAGCTTTTCACTTTCCTCTTTACACGCAAAAAGTTTCAAAATTTTCCATGCACTAGTTTTCCAGGAAAACTTTGAAATGTGTGAGAATATATTTTCAATTAATTCAGTTATTGTAGGTTGATTTCTAATATTCCTCATGTTGTTATTTTCAATGGAAAAATTTGAAATTCTGGGAAAATGAGCTTCCAACCTTCCTCTCTACATACAAAAAGTTTCAAAATTTTCCCTTCACTAGTTTTCCAGGAAAACTTTGAAATGTGTGAGACTGTATTTTCAAATAATTCAGTTATTATAGGTTGATTTCCAAAATTCCTCATGTTGTTATTTTCCACTGGAAAAATTTGAAATTCTGGGAAAATGAGCTTCTCACCTTCCTCTTTACATGCAAAAATTTTCAAAATTTTCCCTGCACTAGTTTTCCAGGAAAACTTTGAAATATGTGAGACTGTATTTTCAATTAATTCAGTTATTGTAGGTTGATTTCCAATATTCCTCATGTTATTATTTTCTGCTGGAAAAGTTTGAAATTCTGGGAAAATGAGCTTCTAATCTTCCTCTTTACATGCAAAAAGTTTCAAAATTTTCTCTGCCTTAGTTTTCTTGAAATTCCAATGAAACTTTTTTCTCAAAATTTCATTTATTTCCGTAAGAATTTTTCGGAATTCTCTTTCAATAGTCAATAGGAATTTTTGGGAATATTAATGAAACTTCAAGTAATTTCTTGAAAATTCACCGAAATTCCTCCGAAATATATTTAAATTTTATATCATTACATTTACATGGGAATTTTTCCAAATTTTACCAAAATTTTCAGGTTTTTAGCCGCAAATTCCTCGGAATTTCACTTGTGAAATTTTCTCTAATTTTACCAAAATTTAATAATTCGATGGGAATTTTACTAAAATGCCATGTTTTTAACTGGGAATTCTTTGGAATAAAAATAAAATTGTAATTACATTAGGATTTTTTGGAATTTTAATGGAATTCCTTATGAAACGATATAAGAGTTGTTCAAAATTTCACTTGAATTTCATGTAATTCCCTGCAATTCCTTGGAATTCCATGTAATTGCTCTAGTATTTCGGGAAGTGGTTGACCCCTCGGGATTTTGAGTAGATCTTATGAGATTTTCTGGGATTTTGACCAGTTAATCATCAAGATATCATAGAAAATTAAACGTCACATTGAAGTACCTTTTGCCTATTCAATTTCAATCGTTCTGTGACGCAATATATAAGTAAATGGTTCCTGTTGATTGTGTCAACAACCCGGCGACACCGCCGGAAGCGAGTGGTACCGTCGGAAACAAAGAAAATCGTTGAGACTAGCGACGACGATAAAACCGTTCGTTAGGGCACCCGGCGGTGGTACCTCACCTGCATCGAGTGTGCGGGCCTTTTCATATAGCCGCAGTTGCCTAATCGAACAAAAAAAAAATCTACTCAGGAGGGAAAGTAATTACATAGGTACGATATTTTAAGTGCTAATTTGTTTTATGTTTTGCAGAGAAACTTAATTAAGTGGTACTTTGGTACTATTTGCAACATGTCGGCCCTTGCATAATGCCCTTTTGTTAAGCACGATTTTTCTTTTTTATTATTATCGGAAATCGCCTCAGCAGTATTAAGACACACGGTTACACAATGGACATCCGTCGTCTGTTGTCGGGGCATTTAAATATTGTGCCTCGTCAAAATGGCCTATAATTTACCATAACCTGAAACCCTATTCTACCTGAAATGATTGGCAGGTTGGCCTGAATCTGTACTAAACCGCAGAGTAGTGAGGTTAACGCACCAGTATAGTGTGGAACTTTCTAGCGATTTTTTTTTTTTTGAAAAACTTGGTCAATGAATGGTTATAGAGTAACTTTTGTAGGGTAAGGGCCCCAATGAGGAAATTGTTTTGGCGAAGTACAAAAAGTCAAGCATATACAAAATTTGAAATGTACTTTCCACCATCTAATGTCAACAAATTATTATTACCAAACAATTCGGAAAAGTCGCAAGTAGTTGTAGTGGCCTCGGCGTAAAACCGATATCCTGTAGCGTATCCCGCATCCTCTTGCAGCAGCCCTTTGAACAACCCTTCCGCGTACCCCGTAGCCATTTAATCCTACTATGACTCACTCCTGATATTATTGACATTTATTGTACAAAATTATTGTCACACAACACGATTTACCGCCAAACACTCGTGGACATTTGACAACGTCGCTCGCCATGTGTGCGCCTTGCGTTTTCAACAAAGGAAAATCCGTTTTCGGGCACTCAGAATTATTGTTTCAAAAACTATAATTCTTCATTATTGTAATCTCGGTTATTTAATGTTACGTAAGTTTTGATTATTTAGGTATCGCGGATGAGGCATACACGGGGAAAGAGGCAAACGACCGGGGCCTTGTTGAATGTCGACAGACGACTGCATAGTCGTAACTGACTGACTGACAACGTTGCCGATGTGTTTTTGGTCGAAGGGGGCCTTATTTGAAGGGTGGTGGGTAGGGGACTGGAAATAAACCCTCGGGAAAGTCAGCTGGTCGGGTTTTTTTTTCTAAGACGGCTCCGGCACCTGCGGAGAGGACGCTTTAGCTATTCATATGAGGGTTCTTACGGAATAATTTTTATATACTCTGTTTCCTTTTTGTTGTTACATTTACCTAACATACTTATACAATGTTCAAATTTTGATTATTACCGGCGTTTGATAATATTCTAGTGATTATCCAAATGCCCTTTGGATTAAAGAACGCCCCAGCAACTTTCCAACGAGTGATCGTTGGATAATTTCTCTAGAATCAAGGGCCTATAATTGTTCAAATCTTGATTATTACTGGTGCTTGATTGGCAAGGCAAGTACCTGAGTACGACCCTCCTTAAAGGTACTCGATTGTTATGTGATTGATTAACCTATATACTGAAAACTCAAAGCGATTGAGTTATTATTAATGGAGTTATGATTTTTTGAAAATAATGATGTTTTGTAAAGTTTTACTTTACAAACAATTTTTTCACTCAAAAACTAAAGTGAGTGGAAAGTTGAAATTTTGAGGACTTTTTCCTAAAGGTTCAAGGTAAAAAACACCAAAAACTCAAAGCGATTGAGTTATTATTAATGGAGTTATGATTTTTTGAAAATAATGATGTTTTGTAAAGTCTTACTTTACAAACAATTTTTTCACTCAAAAACTAAAATGAGTGGAAAGTTGAAATTTTGAGGACTTTTTCCTAAAGGTTCAATGTAAAAAATACTGAAAATTCAAAGCGATTGAGTTATTATTAATGGAGTTATGATTTTTTAAAAATAATGCTGTTTTGTTAAGTAAGACTTTACAAATAATTTTTTCACTCAAAAACTAAAGTCAGTGGAAAGTTGAAATTTTGAGAACTTTTTCCTAAAGGTTCAATGTAAAAAATACTAAAAACTCAAAGCGATTGAGTTATTATTAATGGAGTTATGATTTTTTAAAAATAATGATGTTTTGTAAAGTCTTACTTTACAAACAATTCATCCAATATTCACTCAACAATTAATGTGAGTGGAAAGTTGAAATTTTGAGGACTTTTTCCTAAAGATTCAATGTAAATAATACTAAATAATCAAAGCGATTGAGTTATTATTAATGGAGTTATGATTTTTTGAAAATAATGATATTTCGTAAAATAAGACTTTACAAACAATTTTTTCACTCAAAAACTAAAATGAGTGGAAAGTTGAAATTTTGAGGACTTTTTCCTAAAGGTTCAATGTAAAAAATACTAAAAACTCAAAGCGATTGAGTTATTATTAATGGAGTTATGATTTTTTAAAAATAATGGTGTTTTGTTAAGTAAGACTTTACAAATAATTTTTTCACTCAAAAACTAAGTGAGTGGAAAGTTGAAATTTTGAGGACTTTTTCCTAAAGATTCAATGTAAATAATACTAAAAACTCAAAGCGATTGAGTTATTATTAATGGAGTTATGATTTCTTAGAAATAATAATGTTTTGTAAAGTCTTACTTTACAAACAATTTTTTCACTCAAAAACTAATGTGAGTGGAAAGTTGAAATTTTGAGGACTTTTTCCTAAAGATTCAATGTAAAAAATACTAAAAACTCAAAGCGATTGAGTTATTATTAATGGAGTTATGATTTTTTGAAAATAATGATGTTTTGTAAAGTTTTACTTTACAAACAATTTTTTCACTCAAAAACTAAAGTGAGTGGAAAATTGAAATTTTGAGGACTTTTTCCTAAAGGTTCAATGTAAAAAATACTAAAAACTCAAAGCGATTGAGTTATTATTAATGGAGTTATGATTTTTTTAAAATAATGATGTTTTGTTAAGTAAGACTTTACAAACAATTTTTTCACTCAAAAACTAAAGTGAGGGGAAAGTTGAAATTTTGAGGACTTTTTCCTAAAGGTATTCAACCTGGGCTACCTGTCAGTGTCAAAAAAATTTAATAGCTGTCAACGTCAAAAAAATTGGTTTATTTCCAATTTTCGAAACAAAAAAAATCGATAGTCGTAGAACGATCTCCCGATCTCAAAAACCCCAGAAAAAAAATTGACATTGACATATGGCCCGCCTGACAAAGTCAAACGTCTTTTTTGACATATGTGAATTTTGTCGCGCGAAACTTTGGCGATATAAACAGATGTCACCCGTCAAATCTGACACATGTTTACCTCTCTCCTCGCTTTATCATACAAGCTACAACCACCAAACTTCATACATGACGGATAGATGTCGTGAGCTACCTGTCAGTGTCAAAAAAATTTGACACTTGTCAACGTCAAAAAAGTTTTTTTTTCAATTTTTCTGTTTTGAAAAAAATGGCAAATTATACAGACTTCATTCATATTGATTTAATAATATGTCAAAAATTGAAACGAAAAACGTGGTTTTTTGACACATGTCAAAAGACCCCGCAATAATATTTAAACGGAAATTGGTTATCTGTGATATTTGGATGATAATTTAAATATGTTATTAGGGATACCATAGGTGTATATATATGACAGATGAGGCGGTATCAGCTGTCAAATATTGGAATCTAATGGCGTTTCCGATTGGTAGATTCAATACGCACTGAGTGCAAGCAGGAGCCTGTAATTTGTCAAATTTTGATTATTACCGGCGTTTGATTCGCTGGATAATTTTCTAGAAGGGCCCAAGAGCCGATGATAGTCCCTCTAACAAATTACACATATGGAATGCACTCTACTGAAAATTAGAAAAAAGTTTGATAACGAGCAATATCTTACAATGGTAAAAACGGCATAGATATCAATATTTATTTCCACTTGAGGGTAGGTAAAGACGATTCCCTGTGAAAAATTTAATTAAATCCTTTATTATTATCTTACATATTCATAGTTATAGGTTTTTTATGTTATATTTAGGATGATGTCATCGAACAAGGACAGACAATGTTGTCAATGCCTATCCTTTTTTTCCTGTAATTTTCCAGAATGTCGTGTGTCAATAATTCTGATGACGAAAGTAAAAGTAACTCAAATGTACTAAAAGGACTCTAGATTCCAAATAATGATTTATTTTTAAAAAACTTTAATAAACTATACAAAGGGAACGCACTTTACTGAAAATTGGAAAAAAGTTTGATAAACAGTCCTATCTTACAACGGTAAAAACGGCATAGATATCAATATTTTTTTCCATTTGAGGGTATCTAAAAGCTATTCCCTATGAAAAATTTAATTTAACCGAAATTAAACTTATTAATTAATATTTTACAAATATTCATAGTTATCAAATTCAACTTTGACAGCTGTCAAAAAAATAAATGACGTCACTGTCAGACCCAAAAAGAGACGTTTAATTATTTATTTTTTGGCAGTTGCTAAGCTGTCAAAATTATCTAGGATAAAGAAAAATGCGCCCAATGATGTTATTGCCTTGTTTTACCACGTACAATATTTTATTTTCGACTCACAAAGTAATATAGTTTTACTTAGAATTTGACCCAAAACTCCGACGTTGCCAAATTGTCCCAATAATCCCAATAAAACACAACAAAAAAATTACTTACTTCTTATTGTTGACACTGGAGTAGTAGTTGGTTCAGGCATCTGGAAAAATCCCAAAACAAAATAAACCCCCCTTTTTTCAATAATTTCTAATTTACCTTGGCTAAGGGATTGTATTGGTACTTGTTATCCGTATCTATCCTAGGGGTGGCAGCGATGGCAGACAGTGGCGTCGATGGCATGATCATTTCCTTTAAAAATTAGTTTATATTTTAAAATCCATAATACAATTATTATTTTACCTTTAGAATATTGTCAACTTCGTGAGCTACTGGTGTCGCACACGGCAACGTTTCCCTCGGTCCAGCCGAGGGGGGCATTTGAGTCTGAAAAATTTCTTGTTTTTTAAAAATATCTTTCTTCCAGTGGCGCACACCCAGGGTTTTTATGATGATATAAATGGAAAGTTTATTAGGTATTTAGGGTGCTCGATCATTTTTTTCTTCCTATGCTGTTCAATGCAATTCTATTTCCCACACATCTCAAAAACTATACGATAGATCTTATTTATTTTTCTCCAGATGATTATATTGATAAAGATCTATAGAGTTACGTTTTCGTTTTTCTACAAAATATCGCTAACCAAAATCGCATTTAAATTTAGTGGGGGTGCGCCACTGCTTTCCTCATCATTAGGACAAATTGAGACAAATTTCACTTACCACTAAGTCATAATTATTGTGCCTATTTGTAACGGGTGGCCCTTTTGCTGGAACAACGCCGTTTACCCGGTGCTGGCCGCCCCGTTTCACCGGCTGTCCGGGGTACCCGCCCCTGCCTCCATACGGCGGTTTACTTTCAGCCGGTTTGACGTAACCGCCCCGCTGATGCGCCGCTACCAGTGGCGGCGGCGGGTGCATCGAATGCTGATGAGGTTTTTTGAATTCCGGTGAAGCTTGCAATCTGGAAGATCCGACATTGGGAAGGGGCGGCGAAGCGCGCGGCGGTACCGGTCCGGGCGAAGGTGGTACCCCGTCCACTCCAATGAGTACCGAAGAGTCTTTTTGGTCCAAATACTGGCGCACACGTGAAAAGTCGCCTAAAGTACTATGAATTGCGTTGGTCACAGGATCGCTGGAAGATGGCGACACCTGGAATAAAATTATTTCTCTTTATATGTATTATTGATCTTTAATGTTAGGGGGGGAGCAACACGTGCGAAACGACGTTGGCTCTCTGTGCAAAGTTCTCGGAACTCGTTTAATCGTATAATAGGGGGTTAACTGTCCCGTTTATATGTTGGGTTTTGCGAGTTAATCATTTGGATTTTCTTGGAATATTGACTCAGTAATCTTGGAATTTTAAAGTTAAGTTGGCAATATGTGGAAATATTTTGTTAATACATGGAAATAGTTGTTATCAAATATTAAGTACACAGAACATGGAAATAGTTCAGTTACTACTGTTATGCGGTATACAAATTTTGTTAGGTGAAAAATCCCTTTGTATAATTCAATCTAAATCCTGAAAAAATACAAAAGGTTTTTTTACGGGACGCAGACCCCTGACGAGTTCATTCTCCTTCGAGTTTCAAGTCCATTTTCGCACGACAATAATAATTAGGAAAACTTGCCTAAAAAGTTTTAACCAGTCTGGACTTTTGCCAGCAAAAAATGTGTGTTGATCGCATACTTTTCAATGATTCATTTGATTTCCAGACCCATAGTTAAAACACTATTGAATTAAATATAGAATTATTTTGTTCGATTTATTATAACCCGGTTATCATTCTTCTTTAGATAAACTTGCTGGTAACTATCTACAAGATAAATTAGTCAGATGAGATGTTTTTGGAAAAATTTCAATTATATGAAAGATCTTTTATCAGCTGGAATCGCAAAGCTGCTTTTTTTGGGGTGTGTGCAACCCTAGCTACTAAAGAAATGTCAGAGAAAACTGGACCTTATCCTACTTTTCTATTTATTTGGCGTTCCATTGGTTCGATTTAATTCACCCTTTTTACAATTTAGAGAAAACCTTGCTGGCTTAATAATTATTCCATAAAAGATAATCAATTGTTTAAAATTTGCCATAGGCAAAAACAATGTATCTAATTATCTTATCAGGTATGGAGAGTTCATAGATAAGATTATTTGAAATAGAAAGAGGCCATTGCAAATCATTGTGGGTTTTTTTTTTGTATGTTTTAAATGGGAGAGTCAAGGTTTGAATGCAGCCAATTATGGCGAACAAGATCATCTGTGAGGTCATTTTAAATTTTTCAATCAATAATTTGCATTTAAGCAGTTGCAAAGTGACCGAAAATAGCGGCCGGATAAATTTAGATAAATTCGACGTAAAAATAGACACTGAATTGTTTGTGTGTATATGTGCACGCGGGCCACTGTTTTAATAAGCGAATTAATTTCACAAAGAAATATACTTTAGAATTTATCATTTCCGCGGAAATTCGCTTTGCGTATATATGGATTAAAACCCTTGACATTTTCAGCACGAATTTACCTACGTCATTCGGTTAATTGAAATGTTTCAGGAAAATGTGTTTTTTCGATAATTAGCCTGAAATTGGTAAAATTGATTGGAAGATTTACAAGAGATAATTTTATTGTCTTATGTCCATCAGGGAGTTTTCACTGAAGCAACTTGTAGGTAAATTTATTACAACATACAAACTAGAATTGACAAGTAGGTACAGGGTGTTTTTTTATGTATTGACACTCCATCTACAGAAGTCTATAAACCTAGCAGTCCCAAGGTGGAAAAAAACTTCGGGAACTATTTAATAATTAGGTGCTTTTTAGGTGTTAATTAGGGCCTCTAATTAAAAATTAGGTGCTCCTTTAGATTTTGAGAAAATCACAAAAAACCAAGGGACTGCTAGGTTTATCAAAGGTAGCAATCCCCTATAGTAAAAAATATGTTTTCAATTTTTTTCTTTGTATCAAAATTACTTAGGTGCTCCTAAATAGTCCAAGAAAAAATTGAATTGATTAATTATTAACTGAGTCACAGATTTTTTTTCATTATAAGGGGACTGCTGGCTTTACGTTAACATGCTGGTGTGTCAGAATGGAAAAAAACTTCGGGATCTATATAATAATTAGGTGCTAATTAGGGCCTCTAATTAAAAATTAGGTGCTCCTCTAGTAAATCAAAAAAAACTAAGGGATTGTTAGGTTTATGAAAGCTAGCAGTTCCCTAATAATTGAAAAAAAATCTGTAACTCAGTTAATAATTAATCAATCCTATTTTTTCTTCGACTATTCAAGAGCACCTAAAAAGCACCTAATTCTGATACAAAGGAAAATTTTGGAAAAATATATTTTACTATAGGGGACTTCTAGCTTTCATAAACCTAGCAATCCCTTAGTTTTTTTGATTTTCTCAATTACTAGAGGAGCACCTAATTTTTAATTAGAGGCCCTAATTAGCACCTAATTATTATATAGATCCCGAAGTTTTTTTGCCATTCGGACACACCAACAAGTAAACGTAAAGCCAGCAGTCCAGTAATAATTTTTAAAAAATCTGTAACTGCACTTCATAATATGTGCATTGAAGAAAATGTTGAAGTTCAAAAAGAACTTCAACAAGAATTGGGCGATGTCGCTGAAGCAGGCAACATGAATGGAAATAATGAGCATGAAGATGTGGGTGACGGCCAAGCTGTTAGAGAGTTTATTATAAATAATTATTTTTGATAATATTCCAATTTTTATTAAATTTATACTTAAATACGAGGGGTAAACCGCAGAGGAATTTTGGTGTACAGTCTTCAGGAATTGATAAGAAATTAGAGGAATTAGAAGGGAATTAGAGGGGAATTATAGAAATTACTAGGGAATTATGGGAATTAGTCGGGAAATTTGAGGAATTAGTTAGGAAATTCGGGGAATTAGTCGGAAAATATGGGGAATTAGTAAGAGAATGCAGGTGGAATTAATGGAAAATTATAGAAATCAAATCAGTCAACGTCGCATCACATAGAACTGCTACGGATCCAATGTACAAAATCCTTTCTCCGTAAAAATATAGAACTGTATAAAGGTATGGTATTACGATCGAAAATACGGTAATAGATTCTATACTAATAGACAGGCGACATATGCATCACAACTATGTGATGCCAAGTACGTTTCCTCCACTTCTACTGAAACAATCAAGATATATATTCAAACTGGAGTACAAGCAGTATATGCCTATCTAATATTGGTTCAACCATTACATGCTCGGACATCGACATACTGTCTGTCCTTATTCGGAACTGATAATTCATTGACTACTGAGCAGGTCACTCTGAGATGGGAATAGATGAAGGAGAAAGCTGAGAAATTTGGCATCGCAATTATGGGATCTTTCCTCGGATTTTCCCTAGGATTTTCCTCCAACAGATAATCGCCTTCTAAGTGATATGCATTTAAATAATGATTTGATGTCTCGTTTAGCTTCTGAATAAATAGAAAAAAACAAAACAATCTCAGAAGATTGCCAGTTCCAGATTGGAAGTGGTACCACTACAGCAGTGAAAAAAAAATGAAGAATGATTTACAAGACACCACACATATTTGAATAAATATATGCGGACTTATGCGTTCTCTAAATCCTGATGGAATAAAAATAACCGAACAAAAACTACCATGTAAAGAAGAAATTCTCAATTTGGATATCAAAGCTATCTACTTACAGTTGAAGAAACTCTGCAAAATGTCATACAGGATATAAAACAATTCGGTCTCAATGCTAAAGAAAGCGATTGGAGATATATGCATAGGTACCTTCAATAAACCGAACACGAAATATCGGATATACACAGGAAAATATGAAGATCAAGGAAGGCGACGTTGAAGTTGACGAAAACCTTGAAGAAAATGAAAATGACCAAGATGTGGCAAATACAAATGACGATAGTAATGAGGACGATATAGTCATAGACTTAATTTAAAAAGAACAGAATCTTGGAAATTTCTCATGAAGAATGTGATACTTTGGAAACAAGTTGTATAAACTTCAACGTTGTTGGTAAAAATTCTTCAAACATTAAAAAGTCATTGTGCAGTCTAGCGGAAGATTAAGTAGGTACTGACCGACTAATAAGAATTATAGGCAGTACAAGGAAAACACGTCGGAAAAAATTGGAGAAATCACCTTCCAAAACTTCCGATCTTGATGACTATGAAAAGGACTAAATCGCCGACTAAACAGAAGCTAATCATGTAATTTTTTTGCAAACATCTAGATATTCTTGATTTATTCTACACCATTTTGTGACCAAATTTTTGTGATAGATTTGGTGAATTAGTAGGGAATTAGTAAAATTAGGGGAATTAGTTTGGGAATTAGAAATATCAGGGAAATTAGAAGGTAATTAGAGGAATTAGTTACCATCCTGGAAATTAGTGTACATACACGAATAAAATTTTAATTAGTTGCAATAGTTAGTACATGGCAATATGTATAATGAAATTGTAAGTGAATAAACACTCTTACACCATATATTATGGTATTCGAGGATTTTGATAATATATATGTATATATACTTTACCAAACTAGTAACATAATGTAACAAGTTATTCAAGTACAAATGAGTGAATTGTTGCGAAACTTATAGGTGGACCTCTGCGGGACGAGCGCAGCGAGTTCCGCAGCCATCTATTCATCAATATGTTGTTTAATTACGATACTAATTTGACTCAATCAAATGTGAGTTATTCTCATTAGTTTAAAAACTACATGTTTCAGGTGAGTGTCTTATTTAAACAATTCAACAGTATATTGATGAGTAGATGGTTGGGTCTACCCATAAGTTCTGCAACAATCCACTCGCTTGTACTTGAATAACTTGTCACAATATATTATTAGTTTGGTAAAGTAACATTACTAATTCCTGTTAAAAGGCAAATTGGCAAAAAGTGGATAATCTTACAAATTTTGACTTTATATAATAATTTATTGTTCAAGTACAAATAAGTGGATTGTTGCGGATTTTATGGATAGACTTCTGCGGGACGAGCGCAGCTAGTTCCGCAACCATCTACTGATTAATATACTGTCGAACTGTTCAAATAAGACATTCATCTAAAACATGTAGTTTTTAAACTAATGAGAATAACTCACATTTGATTGAGTCAGG